AAGGACCAGCAACGAACTGGTACATCTCTGGGCTTTGAGTGGTTATATCAGGATGATGCCTTCAGCTGCAGGCATCATCCTGGTATAATTTATTTCAGCCAGCGATGGGCTTTCATGTAAAAGCAATCCCAGTGGCTAATTAGTTGCAGGATTGCTTTTACAAAACAGTGGGAGAAGATGCCCCCTCCCCCACTGCCTTAGTAAAAAAAAGTGTATTTTTTTTCAAACAAATTGAGTTTTAAAAATCGCTGCACAAGTACTATGTGACATAAAAGATTGCAGCACCCACCATTTTATTCACTAGAGTGTCTGCTTTAAAAAAATATATAATGTTTGGTGGTTCAAAGTAATTTCCTAGCAAAAAAATACAGATTTTGTTTTCATGTGAACAAAAAGTCAGAAAAGGCTTGGTCTTCAGGTGGTTAGAAGAGTGAGTGATATGTGGCATAAACTTCTGGTGCTGGGCATAAAATGCCCCCAGTCCACAAAATTACCTCTTTTTGGAAAGTAGACACCCCAAACTATCTGCTGAGAGGCATGTTGAGTCAATAGAAGAATTTATTTTGTGTGCCAAAAGTTTTTGGAAAATTACAAATATATATATATATATATATATATGTATTTTTTTTACACAAATTTGTCATTTTAATGATTTATTGCTCACACATGCCATGGGTATATGTTCTGCTGCTTTTCCCAAGTATGGGGATACCACATGTGAAAGACATTTTGGCATTCTAGCCAAGTACAGGACCCTTCAGGCTTTTAAAGGGCTTTATTTCCTTATTACACTTCCTGACTACCTATCACAGATTCAAAGGCCCTGAAATGCCCTGAAATACTAACCCCCTCCCCCCCAAATGACCCTTTTTTGGAAAATAGACACCCCAAGAAATTTGATAAGAAGCATGGTGAGTATTTTACAGGTCTCGTTTGTTGCCACAAGTATTTCGAAATTGAAGAAAGAAAACAAAAACATATTTTTTATTTTCTTTTTTTTTATATATCAAAACCTATTATTTGAGGAAAAATTATATCTGCAAAATACTCACCATGCCTCTTTTTAAATTCTTTGGGGTGTCTATTTGCCAAAAAGGGGTCATGGGGGGGGGTGCTATCATGGCATTTTAGGGCCTCCAAAACTGTGATAGGTAGCCAGGAAGTGTAATGAGGAAATAAGGCCCTTTAAAAGCCTGAAAGTGCTTATAAGATTTTGGGGTCCTGTTCTTGGCTAGACTGCCAAAACATCTCTCACATGTGGTACCCCCATACTCAGAAGAAGTAGCAGAATGTATTTTGGGGTGTAATTCCACATATAACCATGGCATGTGGAAGCAATATATAATTTAAGTGACAACTTTGTTTAAAAAAAATGTTTCTGCCATTTTCCAGAAACTTGTGGAAACAAAATAAAATCTCCCATGGACTCAATGTGCCTCTCAGCAGATAGCTTAGGGTATCTACTTTCCGAAAAGGGGTAATTTGGGGGTGTTTGTACTGTCCTGGTATTTTAACACCAAGAAATGTGATAGGCAGTCAGAAAGTAAAAGCTGTGTAAATTCCATTATCTATACCATAGTTTGTAGATGCTATAACTTTCACACAAAGCAATCAATATACACTTATTGGGTTTTTTTTTTAACCAAAAACATGTATCAGAATACACTTTGGCCTAAATTCATAATGAAATTGAGTTTTTTGGATATTTTTTATGGCAGAAATGAGAAAATAATTTTTCTTCAAATTTTTTTTTTTTTGTTTATACAGCGAAAAATAAAAAGCGCACAGGTGATCAAATACCACAAAAAGAAAGCTCTATTTGTGTGAAAAAAGAGTGTACATTTCATTTGGGTACAGCATTGCATGACTGTGCAATTACCAGTTGAAATAGTGCAGCGCCGAATAGCAAAAAGAGGCCATGTCAGGAAGGGGGGTAAATCCTCAGGAGGACATGTGGTTAATAAATAAAACAAAAACAAGAAAAACAAATCAGCAGGAGAATAATAATTAAATGGGTATGGAGAATAAGGAGGAGAAACATTTAATTTAAAAAAAAAAACTTTTTACTTGTCAAATTGCTTTAACTGACATCAACTGCAGATCAAAGTTTATCCCTTTGATCTGCAGATGGTTGAACAGAATGATAGGAAAGTAACAATATGTAACATTGTACCTTTCTGTAGTGTCTGAGCAAGTGTTATTTATAAACACTGTCAGCCTTTTTCTGTGTACACAGCAATACGGCTTTGATTAATCAGAGCCAAATTGATGTGTACAGGGAAGAGGGAGCAGGGCAGAAGGACTGGATCTGCTACACATGTCCTGTGTACAAAGACCTATTTTTTGGGTGTGTGTAGCACGCCCAAAGTCTAGAACTAGATAAAGGGACGCCAGGGTGGGCAGGGAGGGGTTAAAATTTATACAATGTACATTAATCACCCAAAAGGTTTTTTTTTTAATCAAAAGTAGAGTTACTTTTTAAAATCAGACTGCATAGAAAGTAACATTTTTAAAAAATTATTTACATTCAGGGCTCCAGTCCGACCCTGGCCCCTGCATATTTGAGGTCAGAATCACTTTGCTCTGTGTGACAGCTGTCTATAAAGGTTCCACACCCCCCTGCACAGCAGTCCTGAGGCCCAGAGTGCTGCTGAAGGAGGTGGGATTGGGCTATGGCTGGAGCAGTAAAAGAACAATTAACACATTCAATACTTTACATTTTATGCAGCCTGATCTTAAGCAACACTTACACGTTATACCAGAAAAAAAGCTATAATTGGGCTTTAAATTCCTAGGATTGCTAAATGTTCTTGAAATAGATACAAAAAGTTAAAGTTCATATAGAGGGCCATAGAAATTAGAAGCTACAGAAGTTACAGAAGAACCTTATCTAAAAAGAGAAAATCATTACATGGTGATGTAATGAGCTTGTGTGCAGGAATTTATTTCTTCTCTTTCATGAGCTAGCACACATTTTGGCTTATTCAATATTGCAAACAGTTATGATGATGTGAGAAGTACAGTGATTCCCATCAACCAATTAAAATAAACTGAAATTAGATCAGTGAAATATGTACACTGATTAAGGCAGTATTAAACCTAAAACAAAAAATGCAATACATGAACATAAATCACCAGCACCAAAATTAAAACTAAAATAAAATAAATTATTTTAAATACAGCAGCAAAAAATACAATACATTGCAGTTTACTGATCTTTAGATGTGGTGGTTGCATTAGTTTTCTTTTTATTATTATTATTATTATTATTATACAGGATATATATAGCACCAACAATTTACTCAGGGCTTTAAAATATAATGGGAGACAATACAGCAACAATACAGTTCAATACAAGAGGGTTAGGAGGGCTCTGCTCCTTGGAGCTTACAATCTTTTTATGTTTTTCCCTCTGTTGTCACTTGGTGATCTGGCCAGTAACACACCTCCTGTATTAGAGCGTCCTGGATAAAGGAGATAAAGAAGCACAGGGGCATCTTTGGACAACAGCATCGTCAGTGGGGAGGGGATTATTAGATGTACTAGCTGATTTAAATACACCAACAAATTAAAGGCAAACTCCAGCTCACACTTTATAATCAGTTACAGCAGTTTTGCTCTTTTTGGGATAAAGGTTCTACATGAATAAATCTGACCATGTAAGCAGCCTTGTCAGTGGTAAATGGTTTGCCTCAACCATCTAGCTGTTATATCTGCAGGACAGATGCAGTTTTCCTGTTGAAAAACTTACTGGCAAAACCACCAGGTGAAAATAATAGAACATATTTTTGTATACATATATTTTTATTATAGTAACACTGTCCTACTTGGGAATGGGAGGGGGGGGGGGGAGTGTTGATCAGGGATTTTTTTTTTTACACTTTGACTGCTGATACAATGAAGCAATGCTTTGAACTGTCACAAATGAGTTCCATTCATGACAGCTATGATTACTAGTGATCTGTGATTGGCTACATCTAACCACATGGTACAGGATGCTGTGATTGGCCCAGGTACCATGTGATAGTTGTGGGCCAATCACAGTATAGGAAGCAGAGCCGCTATGAATAAGATTAATTCATAGCATCTTTGTTGACATTGTGACCATGTGATTGTATAGCGACTACATGATCCCTGAGCCACTTAAAGCGCCCCGGTAACATGAGCCACAATCCCCTGCATCTGCATTTCCCTGCCTCAGCAGACACAATGACATACATGTAAGTCATTGTGCCTGCACATGCAGCTCTGCCACAATATTTATACTGTGGCGGGTTTGAAAGTGGTTAGGGATAATCAGAGGAATTCAATAAGCACTACCAACAGTTTTCTGCTGATATGGCCCTTTAAAATGGCCTGCACAAGATTCAGAAATCCTACTGCCAGTTCTCACCAACACTTGTGGCAGATTCCAATAGTTCTTAATAGCGCCACTTTTACAAAGTGGCGCTCCCCACACCCTGTTATGGAGATAAAGAGAGAAACGGATTCATTTGTAGTCCAAATCAGGAGCAAGCAGCCTGGGGTGACAACACTGCTCCTCCTTAGATACAGAAAGTGAGTAAGGGTTGTCACCGTAGAACAGAAAATGTGTTACTGGCCAGATCACCTGGTCAAAATAAGAAAAAAAAAAGAAAACTAATGTAGCCACTATATCTAAGAATTGGCAAGCTGCTATTCATTATGTTTTTTCTTTTGGGTTTAGATAAACTTTAAGGGCATGCACAGATAGAGCTTTCTTTTGGTGGTATTTAATCACCTCTAGGTTTTTTATTTTTTCTTAAACAAACCAAAAACCACTGAAAATTTTGAAAAAAAGTAAAGTTTTTTCTTAGTTTTTGTTATAAAATTTTGTAAACAAGTGATTTTTCTCCTTCACTGATGTGCACTAATGAGGCTGCAGTGATAGGCACTGATAGGCTGCACTGATGGGCACTGATAGGTGGCATTGATGGGCACTGATGAGGAGGCATTGGTAGTTGGCACTGATGGGCATTGATAGACATCACTGATGGGCACTGAAAGGCAGCACTCATATATGGCACTGATAGGTGGCACTGACTGGCACTATTAGGTGGCACTGACTGGCACTGTTAGGTGGCACTGATAGGCAGCACTGATGGGCACTGATAGGCGGCACTGACTGGCACTGATATGTGGCACTGATTGGCAGCACTGATGGGTGGCACTGACTGGCATTGATAGGTGGCACTGACTGGCACTGATGGGTGATACTGAAAGGCAGCTCAGATGGGCACTGATATGTGGCATTGATGTGCACTGGTAGGCACTGATATGTGGCATTGATGTGGCACTGATGGGCACTGGCAGGTGGCATGGATGAGCACTGACAGCTGGCACTGATGAACACTGACAGGTGACACTGCTGGGGCTACACAGATCATCAGGGCACACTGATCATCAGTGCCCTGATGATCAGTGTACATGTCCCCTCTAAGGGATGCCGATTACCGGCTCTCCTCTCGAGCTGTCAGTGTGACAGCTTGTGAGAGAAATGCCGATAACCGGCATTTCCCTATTTACATGTGATCAGCTGTGATTGGACACGGCTGATCACATGACCGAGCCGATGTCTTTGGCTCTTTCCGTTGATCGGTGATCCGCTGTGTCTGAGGGACAGAGCGCACCACCGATCACCGCGCTGCCCGCTCCCAGAGCCGTGCATGCGCAGTTAGAATGGGACAACGTCATATGACGTCCTCCCAGAACGAGAAAACCACCTTGCGTCCGTCATTGTACTATATGGCGGGCAGGAAGCGGTTAAGGGCATGCACATTACAAAAGAAAATATATACTGAGCAAACAATTGGCACTATATAAATCCTGTATAATAATATATTTGAATAATTTATAAATATATTAATGATATTTGGCCTATATTATGTGTCAACCAAGGGAGAATTGATTGAATTTTACCCAGAAATCCATGCAAGAAAAGATCTATTTTTACTGGTTCTTTCTTTGACTTCCAGCTGGTTTATATAATTCCAATTACTCAGAATAGTCTATTTCTGACAGAAGGAGAGAAAGAAGGACAGATTGGTTCATGGGATATTATACTACGCTCCCATTTGTTCTCGAATTAGCAAAGCTTTTTGAAATTCAACACCAGGGCAAGATTTCTGTGCTTAATAAGTAAGAAGGAATAAAGCAAGATGTGACTCACCTATACGGTTCAGGTTGAAGAGGTGACATGACTCATGCTAAACACATTTCAATTACAATCACATTCTGTGTCACACTGATATTTTTGTTTGGATAAAATCTGCGTGTCTGTCATTAGATAGTTGTGTCTCCTGATTTCCATGTACATAAAGCCCATTTACTACTGGAAAGTGAATAATGTTACTATTTCTCTCTAAAGCTGCACTGGATAGTAATATAGAAAAATAATAAGAACGCCTTAAAAGTAAAAAATTGTATGCTAAGAGTATTATTGGTGTCACATGGCCTTGTTAGAAAGATATTGAATGATTACTTTGTGGGGTTTCCCTGGACTGTGCATAAAGTGAATCTGTCACATTGTCAGCTTTCAGTACAAAGTGACAGGTTCTTTTAAAAGACCCTTTCCCTTTTTACTGATACTTACCTTTTCTGAGCTTCACTGTTCCTCCTCTACCCAGGCACTATGTATTTGCAAGGGCTCCTTGGGGCCCAGGCGTGTTCCATAAGGGTTCAAATTTCAGCCATTTTCACTTCACTAGGAAAAAGTGGGCATGTGAACTGCTAGCGGAATGCTTCAGGAGATCAGTCCTGAAACTTCACCCCGAGGAGGAATAATTTTCCCCAGTGGGATCTCATTCTGGTCCCGGATTTCCTTGCTCTGACTTTGCTTGCACCAACAGAAAGCAGTCCTCAGTGAGACATCACTTGAGAAGCCGTGTCCCTTGATAATTTCAGGTGATAACTTCAGGGAGCAGAGTACCGGACCTGCAAGCATTTGAGACTACAGAGCCCTACATCTTATTTTCTTCCAGACAAGTTTGGGCCTATGCTCCTTAAGTACTTTTGACCCCAAATTGGCATCTGTTTTCATCTTACAAACGTAGTGGTGCTTCCATAATTTTCAGCAGAATCAGTATCTAATCTACACAAGCTGGATGTGCCAAGTGTCTAAAACACCTACTGTACGTTCAAGCCACTTCCTAGTTTACTGTAGATCCTACAGGAGGCTGTTTGGAGGTGGAAGCTACAGCAAAACCTTGTCATCTTGGAGTGTAAAGATTGACCAGAAAACATACAGTGTGGCCAGGCAAGAGCTTCCGGAAGTATTACAGGCTCATTCAGCTAGGTCCATCTCTATGTCTCTACATTTAGGGCAGGGGTGTGCAAAATGTCTATAGAGAGCATCTGCAAAGCAGCAGGCTGGTTGTCACAATACACGTCTCAGGCACTAAAGGGAAGAACCAGGGGCTCATAGTGGACTTCAACGGAATAACAATTCAGGCTTCCATGTCCATTGTAATAAAGTTTGATTATACATTTTAGCCCTCCTTGTTTAGCTCATTAGGTATCATATGTATGCTGCAATGTCAGCATCAGGAAAACAGAAAATTGGATCAAATACTTACCTTAATTTTCCTTTGCTGACACCAATCCAAAGCAGCATATGGACCCTCGATTTTGGTCTTGTTACTTTTAGTTAGCATAGGGCTGGTCTCAGGTCCTGTGACTGGAGATAAAGGTAGAACTATGTCATATGTATGATGCAATGGATTGGCATCACAAAAGGAAAATTATGATAAATATTTTATACAATTTTTAATTTTCCTTATTCTGTAGAGATGGCAGCACCAAAGACATAATTTACCTACAATGAAGTTTATCTTACATCCTGCTGACTGCTAGTTACTATAAAAATCCTAAATTCAGTGATGCTGGATCCTCCTCAGGGCTGTGAACCTTGGGCACTACATGGTTTAATTGCCTCTGTTGCTTACCATCCATATACGCCCCTCTCATCCATTCATAAAACTGAAATGCAAGAGAAGCAAATGAATGATAGAATGTAAGAGAGGCAGAAGATAGATAGGAAACCCTTCCTTCATTCACAGAACACTTTGCATTCTGTCAGAATAATACAATGAGTTTTGTGACTGGATGAGTGGGGCAGGCATGGAGGGTGAGCAGTGCGATCCTTCCCACTGAGGCAGTTAACTCATGTAGTGTCCAAAATTCAGAGCTGCGAGTAGGATCTGACATCACTGAACGGAGGATTTATACAATAAGCCAGTAGCAAGCAGGACATAAGATACCCTCAATAGAGACACGGTATGCCCCTGGTGCTGTATACCCAAACAGATTTTTAAGAAAACCTCAGCTTTAAAAACTATGTTAACAGAACATTTCATATTCCTGATATGTGCCTGCTGTACCTTGCACTTGTATGAAAAAGTATCCTGTACTTTTTGTATTGCTTCCTATATGTGAAATCCCTGGTGTTCCTGCCGGTCCCTCTGCTTTCCAATCAAAAACTGACCACACTAGGCATGAGAGCACAGTTAGTTCTCTAGCTATGCTGGGAACTCAGCCTGCTTTCCTCCAATAATCAGACTTCTGCTGATATCTACCCCACCCCCCGCACAGCCATTCACTGGGAAGACAAGACTAGTGTATGTTGTTTCTCCTCCCCCAGCTCTCTGAGCTTCTTATGCAGCTGAGAACAGAGGATATGTGATCACTAATAAAAAAAAAGTAAAAAAATATATTGATACTGTTTTTATATTTATACACACGATGTTTGCCTTTCATTTCTATTTTAAACTTATTGGGTTGTTTCACAACATGGGTGCTCAACCTGTGGCCCTCCAGGTGTTGCAAAACTACACATCCCATGAGCCATTGCAAGGCTGACAGTTACAAGCATGACTGCCAAAGGAAGAGGCATGATGGAACTTGTAGTTCCACAACAGTGAAGGGCCACAGGTTGAGCACCCATGTTTTACAAGGTGAGGGTTCACATTTACGTTAACCATCCCCTCTAATTATAAAATTGACTTTGGATAACTATTAAAGGCCTTCTTTGGCTCAACTTTCCAACAATTTACAAGTTTTTTGAAAAATACATTCTGAAACTGTTTTATACTAATCCTGCCCAGGGTGGACTGACAACTCATGGGGCCCCCAGGCAACAGGAAATTATGGGGCCCCTGTGTCCTCGCCCACACTCAAACCACACCCAAAAAAAGCCTATGAAAGGAACCAGGGGCCTTTCATGGGGCCCCCTACAGACCCCGGGCCCTGGGCAGTGCTCGAGTGCCCAAATGGTCAGTCCACCCCTGATCCTGCCATCTGTGTCCCTTACAAGTGCCTCGTCTGCTTGTGAAAATCAATGATCCAGTACTGCAGTGTGAACCTGCACCAACCGACCCTTCATCGTGATGTCATCACACTCTGCAGTTTTTTAGATTTTGGGGACCTGGCTGCTGTACTGCCAATAGGAAGGCAGGCAGCAAAGTGGACATCCAAGAAAAAACCCTTTCATTCCATTCTACTAGAGAGATACTGTAATTGCTGTTTGGATACCCATATGGAAGACGTATCCTCAATTCTTTCTCCTGGCACATCAAAATAATAGGAAATCTCTATAATGGGAACAGATGCAGCAACACAACTGGAGAAAGGATAAAAATATGGTCATCTTTTAATTGCTGTCACTATCTTCTTGTCCCAGTGACACTAGTCCTCCTGGTATCACTGGGGCAGGAAGTGAGGCAAAATCTCCTTGGACACAGGCAGCAGGAAAAACCTAAAGGAAGATCTAAGCCTTCTCACTCCATCCAAAATAAACGAGTAGCTGCTTATCATCCTAGCTATGGTTTTCAGAGTATATTCAAACAATAGAATGGCTAACAAGGGCATTGAGTTTTTTCTATGGAAGTATTTTAGTTTTTTTAAACTCCTATATTTATAATACCATTGTAGTTTTACCTTTTCTCAAATGTTCCCTTCATTTTTTCTTTAGGTTTAAGCAAAGGAAAATGGATAGAAGATGAATTCCCATGCTGACTATGATTACAGAATATGTAGAATACGCAGATGCTGAGTGAGTACTGATAATCCATAGCCAGAAGATATATTTATGATTGCCAAAGAGGATTAACATAATCTTGACATAACGAACAGGGTTTACCTGGAATCTCCTTGTTCTTTGTACTTACCTGAAAAATCTCAGCCTTGCTAAACATTAAATGCAACAGACTTCATATGAGTCAATACTTCCACGGTATACTTTCAATACTAGCATATACTAGCAATCAGACAAAAAAGTAAAAAAAAAATAAACAACCCCCCAAAAGAAAAAACAAAATTAAAAAAAAAAAAAAAAAAACACACACAC